TCTGGTTACTTCACAGTTAAGATGAAGATGGTGGACCACCACTGACCAGCTGATGACATCATAACTTAACACACGTCAGTCCTGTCAATCATAGAGTCCCAGTCCTCTGAACACAAACCCAATCTGTCTAAGATTAATAAGGGGCAGTACTGATATGTTCTGTGACACAGCTCTGGGCCTCTACCCAGTCTTTGAGAAACACTGCATCAGTCTGGATATTTACTGGTTCCAAATATTGTGGTGTGAATAAATATGGCGTTCCTGGTTCAGACCATCAGAACAAGGAGATAATTTTGATGGAAAGCACTCAGTTAGTGGCAAAGAGAGCTTTTCCTATTCATGCCACCCCCTGCAGTCCAGCAGTGGTACAACAGCCAGAACTGTATTTGTATGTGGACTCAGAAAGTAGACAGAGAAAATGTTTTATACACGGCCCCTGCTGCTGCCTGACATTTTCATTCACTGCATGTTTTTCCAAGTGTGTGTGTGTGTGTGTGTGTCCCTGCTGTATTATGATGAGTGACCTTTTCTGGCTCACAGCTCTCCACACTCCTGTCGTACCAAATGACATGCGGCATGTACCGACCAGTTCCTGCTCTGTATTCAGGACCAGGTGTGTTTTAAACCCAGCTCAGACTCTGGACTGTTCTGGTTAATGTTGATGGTTTGGTCTCAGCAGCATGAGGTGACTGGAATGAACCCCTGCAGGTTTATTACAGTCATTACAGCATGACTGTTTCTGCTGGTGTGTCGATGTTTCTGTTTTATCGGTAACACATTATATTCCCATCTGTCTGTGAAGTGACAGTGGAGTCGCTGTCCGTGGTGCTGACTTTACTTCCTCTTGGGTCAGAGCTCCAGGTATCACTGCTTCAACACTTCAACTGAAGGAGAACTGGTTCTGGACCTGGGTGGATCTAACAGAAATAACCGGCTGATGTCTGAGGAGCTGAAGCACAGGTTCTGGTTCAGAAGTGATCGGTCACCGGCTGATGTCTGAGGAGCTGAAGCACATCGGTCAATCAGCACTGTTTCCATGTTTCATCAGGTCCATTCCATTTTAGAGGAGATCATGGAGAAGCTTCCAGAACAGTTCAACATGGCCGAGCTGCTGGCCAAAGCTGAGGACAAGACTCCCTACCAGGTGGTGGCGCTGCAGGAGTGTGAGCGCATGAACCTCCTTACCCAGGAGATCAGAGGGTCCCTCAGGGAACTGGCTCTGGGGCTGAAGGTGAGGAGTCCAGGATGAAGGGACTGAACCAGAGTTTTTAGAATTATGCAGACCGAGACCAAATGAAGCACAGACTCAGAAGAAGACCAGGGGTTGAGAATCCTCCAAGACTGGTTGAGACCAAAAACAGTACCAGAACCAGAGGCAGAGTTCTGGAGTAAAACATCTGACAGACCAAGACTGAGTCCAGACTAGAACCAGGACCGTCACAGAGTAGAATAAAGTGTGTTCATTTCTCAGGTCTCTGAATGTCCTTCTCTTCTTCAGGGGGAGTTGACTATGACCACGGACATGGAGAGTCTTCAGAACTCCATCTTCCTGGACACGGTTCCTGAAAAGTGGACCAAGCGAGCCTACCCTTCCATGTCCAGTCTGACCTTGTGGTTCACAGACCTTCTGTCCAGGATCAAGGAGCTGGAGTCTTGGTCCACAGACTTCAGTCTGCCGTCTGTGGTCTGGCTCGCAGGATTCTTCAACCCTCAGTCCTTCCTCACCGCCATCATGCAGGCCACGGCCAGGAGGTAGGAGACGGTTTTGTGACTAGTCTTCCCCGGTCCAGACCTGACATCCTCGTCCATGAGCTGGGTCGGCTGTAGACCACCTAATGTGACCTCCTGGTTCTTCTTCTTCTCTGCAGGAACGAATGGCCTCTGGACAATATGGTCCTGCACTGTGATGTCACCAAGAAGAATCGCGAGGACTTCACTTCTCCACCACGTGAAGGAGCCTACATTCATGGACTGTACATGGAGGGAGCCCGCTGGGACACACAGGTACCGGTCCAGTCCTGGTCCTCAGGGTCTGACTCCTCTGTTTCTTGGGAGTCTGTGACAGTGTGACCCTGGAAATGACGTTCACAGTTCTCTCCTTCTTCAATATCCATGGTGGTGCAGGGAGGAAGGGAAGCTGGAGACCTCCTCTTACTCATTTTCCATTTTTGTCCTGCTTTTTTTCCTCCTCCATTTAGTCTCTTTATGAAACGTGTTCGTCTTCACTATGCTCCTCCACACTCCTCCTACTGCTCCTTCTACTTCTCCTCATTACCCCTCCTTTCTTCATTTCTCTTCATCCTCCTCCTCTTCCTTTTGTTTTCACCGTGCTCCTTCTCTTCTTCCTCCTACTGAATCGGTGACGTGCAGTCGAAGAGGCAGTGAAAACTAAAACAGTGACGATGACCAGAGAACGTCACTGTTCTGTGAATGTGTTTTCTCTCTGATTTCATTTCTGTGGTCAAATTGTCCTGCGAGGTGAAGGTGGAGGTGAAGGTGGAGGTGGTGCAGCAGTTCCACTGCAGGTATATTCCACTGCACTTACAGTATATTCTGAGTTTTAGGGTAAATGGTTCAATTAAGGACAAAGTTATAAAAGAAAATAAACGTCTATTTTGTGTTCACCGTGCATGAACCTCACTGCACGTCACTGTACACTTCATGCCTCCCTCCTCCCCCCTCCCTCCTCCCCCTCCCCTCCAGCTCCTTCTCCTCTTCCCCTCCAGCCCTGAGGACAGTAAGTCTGTAAACATTTGTCCATCTGGAGCTGGGATTAAAAAAAGCAATTTAAATTAAAAAAGAACAATTTTTTTAACTGCTGTGTGTGTGTGTCTGCTAATGACATGATCATTTTTCATGAGCTCATAAAAAAACGTAAAAAGGTATATTGTTTATTTTTCTCTCTCGCTCTCTCTCCGTCCTTCGTCAACAGACCAGTCTGATCGTCGACGCCCGTCTGAAGGACTTGACTCCGCCCATGCCCGTCATCTTCATCAGGGCAGTTCCTGTGGACCGGAGAGAGACTCGGAACACTTACCCCTGTCCGGTCTACAAAACCCGTCAGAGAGGACCCACCTATGTCTGGACCTTTGACCTGAAGACCAAAGACAGCGCCTCCAAGTGGACTTTGGCAGGAGTAGCCCTGCTGCTGCAGATTTAGTCGTTTTAGTTAGTGGTTTAATAACTGTCTGTTTGTGGAGCCACAGAATCTGAGTTTGAAACGAGTGTCATAAAAAGAATGATTTGAATGGAGACGTGTCAGTTGTTGATGTTTGATGTTTGATGTTTGAGGAGGAACTCTCTTCTCCTACCATAGAAACCAGTGTTGGAGTCACACTCTCTTTCTCACTCTCTCTCTCTCACTCTCTCGCTCGCTGTCTATGCCTCTATGCTCCCCCCCCCCTTTTTGTTCAAATCTTATCTGGAAGAGGTGGAAAATTTAAGAAAACATTTTCACTGTCAAACCATCAGCTGATAATCTGACTGTCGTCCATGATCCTCCTCTCAGGTGATCTCACTCTCTCGCTCGCTGTGTGTGTGTTACTGTGTGTGTGTGTGTCCTGTTTTATTACCATGTTATTTATTCCATAGTACAGTGAATTTTTGGGTCGCTGCACCTCCTTCACTATCTCCTCTCTCCACTCTCCCAGTCCAGCCCTTCTCTAGTCCCTCACCTCCCCCAGGCCTCCTCCTCCTCCTTCCTGTTGTTGAGATTAGAGAAACTCCTCTCTGTGAAGCAGAGGTCTGCAGATAAATCCATCAACTCCTCCTCCTCCTCCTCCTCCTCCTCCACATTTACCACTCCTCTCTGAGTCTCTCCCTTTTTCCTCTCCGCTCAGGTTCCCCATCGTCCCCTTTTTCTTCTTTATTGGTAAGTTTGGACAGTGCACTGGGAGGAGGAGGAGGAGGAGAAGGAGAGGTGAGTTGCAGGCTGAAGGTCTGTGTTCTGTAGAATGGCTACGGTTCCTTTAGAACCAGAACCACGGTCTGATTAGTGACTGCAGTTAAAGCTGGAGGAGGTGTTGTGTCAGAACCTGGAAAACTCTTCTCCAAACCCTGAAGACCTTGAGGGTCCTGGATTTTGTCAGCCCTCACTTTTCAGGTGCAAATGTACGCAGTGGAAACATGCAGTGTCTGGTACTCTTTGTTCCTGTTACTAGTATGAAATGGAAACACATTGTTTTTCTTTGCTCTCTGTCATATGGTATAATGAGGTGGTATAACATACATCTCATTTGTTTTGTTTTTTTCTTTTTCCTTTTTTTTGGTCATATTTCCTGTTCTGTGTTCCACTGACGACACTCGGCGGTTCCTGAACCTGCGTCTCCAGAACACCTCCACCGCAGCAACAGCCGCTCCTTCTTCCTCTGACTTTCAGGTAACACCTCTTGATTGACATTAGTTCTCCCTGAAACAGTGACTTTTTACCCAGAGTCACCCTGACTAACTCTCCTACTGTGTAAGGAAACATTTACCTTTTCAAAAAATTTAAATTTTTTTTTTAGTTTTGTTGAGTTGAAATG